AGAGAGAGAGAGAGAGAGAGAGGAGAGAGAGAGAGGGGGAGCGAGTGGCGACATGGAAGAAGGGGAGAAAAGAGAGAAATCGATGGGCCCGAAAGGATGGCAAAGTTTTCCGTCTCCACTTTTCTTCCGCTTTGTACGAACAAAGCGGCGACCGAGTATAAAGTTGAGCCGTTGCCATTAGTTCGAAAGTCTTTTACCAGTTCCCTCTTTTCCTTCCCTCGAACCCGTTTGAGGATTATCGACCTCTCCATAAGCGAGAGCTTCTTCTCCAAATGGAATATCTGGTATTCGTCCCGGCCGGATATTCGTTACCTAAGAAAGAAGAGGAGAGATCGAAAATTATTCGTCAATACGTACGTAGAATTTTCGCTCGTGTTCCAAATACGTGGATATCTCGTCGTTACGTTCGAATCGATAATGAAGAAATTATTACAAACGGATAACGAGTTATTTCTTGAGAAAATATTATGTAATATTTTATAAAATACGATAAATACATTATTATATACGTGTAAGATAATACAACGCTAGAAGAGAAGTATTATTCGTTATACATTTTTCAAAGTAATCTTGGTAACGACAAGTGATCGCGCATGCGCTATGTGCACAAGGATCGAGAAAACGAGGAGAAAAGAAGGAGGAAAGTTCCGGTCGGTCAAGAAGAGAGAGTAACTCGGTTGTCACGGATTGCCAAAGGCCATCGAGACGTTTTAATTTCCCCGAGGGTAAAGCCGCGCGGACACCAAAGCGCGATTTTAGGTCATAATCCGCTCCCTTTTATTCGAGATGATTGCGAGAACTTTATAGCGGAGATTAAAATTCCGGTTTCCGGACGGAGAGAGTTCACCTACGACCTCGTGCCCTACGATCTTTTTCTCTTTGCCCTTTCGAGAGATCGGGAATCGAGTTGGTTAATTCCCGAGGAAATTAAAATTTATCCGATTTTTTCCCCACCCTCCTTTGCCGCTATTATCGGTTTTTATTTTATCGACCGAGATTTCATCGGAATTATCGATTATATAAATTTATTAGAGCGGAAAAGTGAATAGAAGTGAAATTCATCCGTGTAAGTTTGACCAAGTTTTGAAGAAGTTTTTTTTTTCTTCTTCGTTGTTGCCTTGCTTTTAATTCATTCCAATTATTTGAATAGAAAGAATGAATAAAAATGAATCTATTGTAAAATTTTGTCAAAATCAAAATTTGTTTCTTTTTCGTTTTTAACATTAGAAGGCGATAAGAAATCGTCGTAGTTTAAGAAAAATTTCGAAATCGAAAGTTTCGAGCGAGCATATTCGATTCCACGAAGATTTCATTCTTCAACGTTTTCGCATCATTTTAGAATGGAAATCTTTTTTCGATTAAACCCTCCGTTTCCTCTCCTCCCCCTCCTGTCGACGAGCATCGTTTCTGCATCTCTCCAAGGTGGAGATCTAAAAAGCGACATCGGGTTTAGGAGGCTAAATTGGTCTCGGATGATTTCCGAGATGGAAAAGTGGGTTCGCCCAGCGGGAAATAACTTTTATAGAAACGGTACACACGCCACTCTATTGGACCGTAATGTAAAAGCTCGTCGAATAATAAATACTCGTTCTCGATCTTTCGTGTCATTTTTCCACGATTCTCGAAGAGTTTTAAAATCTTTTTTTAAAACTGTATCGTTCGATCTCCCTTTCAATCTTGATATTAATTGGAGATAAAGTGGAAAATTGTGGCGCAATGATCGATTCGTTGCAAATTCTCCGCTTCGAAATTAAGAGGTTAAGTTTATTAATTTAACGTGGTTGGTTGGTATATATCGATCTCATAATGCGAGTTAGAAATAGTTCTAGCGAAGTAGAAAATGTTAAAGTTCTCCCAAGTTTTTATCTTTAATCTCGAGTAAAAAAGACTTTTCATTTAATCGATTTAAAACTCGAGGGATCGTTGTATCAGGGAATGGGTTGTGAAATGATTTGATTAAAATGAAAAGTGTGCGGGAAGAAAGAATATATTTAATCAAGGAAATAGAAATAAATTATGTTATATAGACCTAGATCGTGTCTATATGCCTTTGCTCTACTACACACTTAACTCGTTGTTAAAAAGATTTAAAAAGAGGAATGGACAAAATATTCACGCATAAATGTACAAGATATGAGTCGCACCTTTTACCTTTTAATATATAAACTCGACATATTATTTTTCCAGAAACACACTCTGTTCCTCTTTCTATTTAAATTACTGCACGAATTCATATATTTCACGATTTAAATATATCCCACAGCAAATCATCCATTATTCGAATTTGTCCTCCTAGAGATTTCGACTGGAAACGTAATTTTAAAATGGAAGAGCAAGAGGCGTTAAACAAAAAGAAAGTGGTAAAGGGGAAGAGCAGAGCGATAATCAGAAAGAGCAAGTGGAGCGCGACATAAATATAGGGAGAAGGGGAGGGCGATAACGAGCTGTTGCTCGCTACCTACTCTCACTCGCCTGTCCCAACTTGCGGTCAAATAACACACGGTTTTCTAGAAAAAGAATGCAGAGGTCATCCATCAAAACAAACCGAGTGTTTGTATTGAGTCTCAAAAGCGTTTGCTATTGCCATATATTTTCGAATACCTTACCCGTTAATTTTTAATTTTAAAGCACACAATCAATGGATGGGAATAAGATTAAAATTAAAATCAAAAGCTTAATCGATCGATCGAGAGAGAGAGAGAGAGAGAGAAAGAGACCGATTAATTCGTATACCTCTGTTGATATAATAAGATTCGGATGGAATATATACGACGATTAAACACGTTCCCCGTTATTGGCTTTCACAGGCTGAAGATTATATCGGATTGAAGGGCAGTTTCGACGATCATATCGGATTATTGATGCACGGGGACGACGGAGGACAGAAGGCTGCGATACAACCGGACCCAAGAGGTTTACCGAGCTTACCACCCAACCTGGAGGCTCGTCTACCGCAACTCGATCAGAGCTTGAGGATCACGCACGCCGAATGGTTGCCGGTCACGAAGACCAGGTATGTTATCACCCTTCTTCTCGAATATTTATTTCCGATAATAATTATTCGATTCCCCTCTAGTTTTTCTTTCTTTCTTTTATATATATATATATTTGTTTGGAAAGAAGATAAATTTGGAAAAATTAATTATTTCGTTCGATAGATTTATTAGATAGAAGAAAAAACAAAATATTTTCGCTCTTCGAAAAGAGGAATTGGAATTATTGGAATGAATTGGAATGTGTTAAAAACTTTGTTCCCAAAGTAATCGGTTTTGGGAACGTTTGCCGAATAAATACCGCGTAAAAACCGGCGAAGAAAATGTTTGCGTTTACGATTTTATTCCGTATATTTTGTTTAACGTAGGCCAGTGTTGATTATTTTAATCCCGGTTGGAGATTCTCGAAATAATTCGATCGAAAAACGTGTGACAAACGAAAATATTTTCATTATTCGTGTTTATTATTATTAACGATAATGTAATCTAAATATTAAAAGAAAAAAAGAAAGATTTTGTTACGAACGAGAGTCATCATATTTTCAGGTCATTTTTTTTACACGTGGTTGAATCTTCTTATTACAACGGTGAATCTAATTCTCGCGTGAAAAGGCTCGCGAGATCCTATTAAAAAATTTGTTGAAAGAGTTAGAGGAAAAATTAGGACAGGATATTATTTGAAAAAGAAGAAGAAAAAAAAAATAATAACATCACCTTTTCTCCCAATAAATTTCTCTTCCATCCTCCCGCACGAACACTTTTTATGTATTACGTACACGTAAAACAATAGAGAGAAGCACGTGAAGAAAAATTTTAAAGAGATGGTGTTTCTTTTTTTCCAATTCTCAGATTCAAATTCTTTGTATACTCAGCGTACTTCGATGACAGGGTTGGTGGTACGGGAGCACCAACAGGTAAAAGTCAGGGCATGGTTCGAATAATAAGCGCAACAAAGACAAGAGGACCGGAGCGTGTTTGGTGTAGACTTTGGTATCGACCGGAGAACGGAGGGAACGTAACTACTTCCGTAACGGTAGCTGCTAAAGTGAAGGTGTGTGTTCTGGAACAGAAATAAAAATAAAAAAAAAAAAAAAAAAAGCGAAACTTTCATAACGTTGCCTTAGAGAAAATAGCAATTACGTGGGAAAAAAAGAAAAGTTGAAAGATGAAAGAGAAGAAAGACTGGAAAATATAATCTACGAAACTGAAGTAGCATGTCAACTTTGTGTAATATTCATCTTCTTTATTATTTATGTCAATTAATAAAATAGCATTTACGAAATGGAAAATGATCATTACAAAATTAAAGCATGTGTTGCAAACTCTAGTTGCAAAAAGTGTATTTGTTTATAACGTTCCATTTTCATACAAAATTAATATGAATATATAAATTTTCTGTAAATTCCTTGTGATGATATTTTTTTCTATCTTATTATAGTATCTGCAATAAGTTTTTGCCAACCACTTTCTCCCTGTATATTGTATGTGAATTAAAGGCAATGTGGTTCGACTCGCTCGTTACTTGTAATTTCCATTTCCTTGGAAAAAAAAGTCTTGTTGGAGAGACTCTAGGAAATGTGGTTGTAGTTAGAACGCGTGTTATAACACTCCGCACAACGAAAGTGACGGTTACATCGATCGTTTCGATAGGTGATCAGGGAAAATTGGAACTTGAAGTACAGTGCCTGCTTTGTGATTTGCCCGTTGCCGAAAGAATCGGCCACGATCGACAGAGTGCCGGAAACGGTGAGCGTGGTGGCCAGGTTGAAAGCATCGCCAACGAATCGCATCCTGGTTCAGAATCGGCCTGAAAATAGAGCGAAGAACAAAGAAATGTTGGCCGTTTGCGTGAAACCCCTACATTACGATTACAACAGGGTACGTAGTAGGATTTTTGTCAGAAATTCAATTTATTATTTATAAAAGATATCTCAAAAATATTCGCTAATTACGCAAAAATTTGTGCATTCGAAAAATAAAATAAATTTCGAAATAGATCGATTTTTCGAACTTACTTACCAAAAATATACGAATTAAAGGAACAAATATATGTAAAATAAATTTTCAGACGAATAAATAATTTTAGAGCGATTCAATTGTTAAAAATTTATGGATTCGAAAAATAAAATATAAATTTCGAAATAGATCGATTCTTCGAACTCGCTTACCAAAAACATACAAATTCTTAGAATAAATATACCTAGAATAAATTTTCAGACAAATAGATAATTTTAGAATAATTTACTGATTATTAAGAATTTACGGATTCGAAAAGTAATATAAATTTCGAAATAGATCGATTCTTCGAACTCGCTTACCAAAAACATACAAATTCATAGAATAAATATACATAGGATAAATTTTCAGACAAATAGATAATTTTAGAATAATTTACTGATTATTAAGAATTTACGGATTCGAAAAGTAATATAAATTTCGAAATAGATCGATTCTTCGAACTTACTTACCAAAAACATACGAATTAAGAAAATAAATATATGTAAAATAAATTTTCAGACGAATAAATAATTTTAGTGTAATTCAATTGTTAAAAATTTACGGATTCGAAAAATAGAATATAAATTTCGAAATAGATCGATTTTTCGAACTTGCTTACCAAAAATATACAAATTAAAGGAATAAATATGTGTAAAATAAATTTTCAGACGAATAAATAATTTTAGTGTAATTCAATTGTTAAAAATTTACGGATTCGAAAAATAAAATATAAATTTCGAAATAGATCGATTTTTCGAACTTGCTTACCAAAAACGTACAAATTCATAGAATGAATATACATATAATAAATTTTCAAACAAATAAATAATTTTAAAATAATTTACTGATTATTAAGAATTTACGAATTCGAAAAGTAAAATAAATTTCGAAATAGATCGATCCCTCGAACTTAATTATTTACTGTTTCGAACGTAAGAAAAGAAAAGACACTTTTCGAAATGCACACGGTGGAATAATGTATTAACGAATGAAAATTTGATAGGTATTACAACTCATAGAGTTCATCGAGTTGCACAGACTGCTTGGCGCTAGCCACGTGACTTTATACAACGACACGGTCGGCAGTGAGGCCGGATGCGCTCTCAAGTATTACGAAGCTAAAGGTCTGGTGACCGTGTTACCTTGGCATCATTTGGACATGATCTCGCAGCGAGACATTCGCACGGAGGGATTGTTCGCTGCCCTCAACGATTGCCTTTATCGATCCATGTACAGATACGAGTACGTGGCGCTGGTGGATCTCGACGAGTTCATTATACCGAGGCACAACGACACCATCATTGATCTAATCAGGTGAGAGAGAGAGAGAGAGAAAGCTCCTTCTTTTCGATCATATCGCTCAATAAATCTTGAGACAATTATTCTATTCACTTTCTTAAAAGAGAATTTATATAATAATACATTAGCAAACAAATTACATCAAGTTCGATGAATAATAACATGATTAATATAAGAAAAAAAAATTCCAGATGGATGAGCAGTCGCATAAACGCCAAAGCCACCGGATCATATTCCTTTCAAAACGCGTTCTTCTATCTTCAATGGGCGGACGACCCGTTCGTGGTGACCAGTCGCACCCCCATAGAGGCAGGCTTGATCACATTGAAGAAAACTAGGCGTAGAACGAAGCTACACCCCCACAAACAACGGTCGAAGTACGTTTGCAAGCCCCAGAACGTGGTCGAGGCTGGCAATCACTTTGTCTGGGAGTTCATCCCAGGCCATGGGACTCTGAATGTCCCATCGGACGCAGCGATCCTCCACCACTACAGGGTCTGCGAGTTTGGCGGCGACGATTGTATAAAGACTCAATCGGTAGTCGATAGAACGGCCTACAAATACAAGAATAGATTATCGGATAGCGTTGGGAAAACCTGGTTCGACCTAAACGGCGAGTGCTCGTTACCGAAATTGGAACCGATTCCGGGTATGACACCACGGATAAAAGCCAGCCCCAAAGTGTTGAAGTCGGTCAGGTAGCGAAAGACCATTGTCGATACTCTTTGGGATATTGGTAATTTCACTGGTACACCGAAGGTAGCGAGAACTTACTTCTACAACTACGGTGGCCCGTAGTTTTCCCACTCGGAAGTCATTACCTCTCGAAGAGAGAATGTTCCACGGAGATTTGTATGGGTATACAACCGTATAAACGCGTTTTTTCTACATTTTGCGGTCCACACGCCTGATAAATCTCGTTTTGAGAGGAGAAAAAGAAACACGGAGAGAGAGAGAGAGAGAAAAACCCGGTGCCTGTCTGTCTATCAACGAGCCAAATCGAGGTGCGGTGCCGATGGCACTTTGTTGAGAATGTTGCGACGCTTAAGTGCGAAAAGCTGACGATAATATGATATTTTTCTACGTGAGAAAGACTCACGATCGACCGGCAAAGATCCGAGCGCCGACAAGACGACGAACCTTTCCCGGGCGATCCTGTATCTCTTACGCTATGGTGCTTCTTTCACGATTTTATACGGTATTGTATTTGTGTACGAGTTTTACTTTTCGTTTTCGAATCGAAGCCGAAACTGGGCGAGAAAGATATATAAAATATATATATATAAGGAGATATTGTGAAGTTATCGCGCAGGGCCTATAATCGTTTCCGGTCTATATCATCGGCTATAATGTGAAAACGTCTGATATATCGTTATCTTGTTGATCTCTATTCTTTTTTTTTTTCCACCCCCTCTCTTCTTTTATTTCACACCTATAAATCCGCACAACGTATAAAGAAAAACGTACGCATATCCATAGGATCAATACTTATAGTGGTAGTTTATGTATGTATAATATGTATCTAGAACATCTAGTATTTAATCCGATAGCGAACGCGTAGAATGCGAAAATGTTTTTAAAATGCCGTTTACACGCGACCGATTTTTATTCGATCGGCCGATTCACGATGAACGAAGTACGTTTTCAATTCGAGGAAAGGAAAAGAAAAGAAAAAAAAAAAATTGGTTCACCTTTTACGGCGACTTATAACCGATAATAATAGATTGAGTTCCAGAGATTTTATTCGTTGTCGAACAAGTCTCGCGAATATAGTTTTTAATCCCTGAAAGTGTTTTTTAAGAACAATGTTGTTAAATAATAGTAGTTGCATTTGCAAGATGGACGTAATTGTTGACAAACACAAAAGGCGGGAGTATTTATGGTCAGCTAGATAGTGGTTACAGATTTGAGCGTTATGACAATGAATATTGCAAACTGTTTCTAATTTCTTTCGTAATGTCACATTTTTTACGCGCACATAACATTTATGTATATATGTGTATACACGAAAGTGTACGTCTATTTACGTACACAGCATGTAGGATAGGTGAAATACGTACATGTGATCGGTGCTAAGCCACAATCAACATGCCGTTCGGCCGTGTTGAGAGAATTAATAAATATTATACGACGACAATATGTATTTTGATTCCCTTGAAAATATATTTCGTAAATAATAATAAGTCTGGAATACATGTACAATTATACGAATGATTGAATTTCAAAAATTATTTAAAACGCTTATGTCGTACATACATACATATATATATATATGTATAACTTATAAATATTTTTTACAAAATTATTCGATCACGAAGACTAATACTAATTACTTTTTATTAATACCTATTTACAGTTATTGTAAAAACATGCGCATAGAGATCGATATAATTACATGGGCGGTATATTTTGGAATTTTTGTAATTCTTTTTTGTAAATGTTTAAAAATCCTCATCCGAATGATCTAGCTTACTAACGGCTCGTTTTTCTTGCCCAACCTTTAAATCAAAATTCCTAATTTCTGGCCCTCCCACGACGGAGTCTAATATATCGTCATCGTCATCGTCGTCAAGATCACCATCGATCAACAGATCACTGTCACTATCTAACGATCCACCGCTGTCGTTCGATTCTTGTATAATTCCTTTCTGACGTCCAGACATGCTTCCGTAAATACGACGTTGCGATATTTGCATTCTCGATGCTCGTCCAGCTATTGTGACGTTATAAACGGTTAATTATTTTAAAATCTAAATAGTGTGTATAGTAGAAATTTTTTTTCTCAAAATATTAGAAAGAAAAATGTACTATTATTTTACATTATTTTATACCTGATTTTAATCGGCTGCTCGGCGTTATTTTTTCCGTATTTTGTTTTTCAATATTAGTAAGAGGAGGTGGAGGCTCTTGAAGATTAGTAGGCAATATAGAATCGTTTCCTTCCATCATACTTTCAAAGTTGACATCTTCAGCTCTCATCTTTTCTAATTGTTTTCGCGTCGCTTCTTGCCTGTATACGAAATATTCAATTATCTTTTTTGCACAGAATGTGCAAACTTTTACTTTTACAATTTATTTAATCGCGAGTACCGTCTTTCAAATCTCTCTTGTTCCGTTTTAGCCGAATCTTCGTACAGATGTTCGAGATATGCCAGATAACGAAATTTTTGAATATAATCGTCGTATAAAATTCTTAATTCAACTTCAAGTTTTTCAAATTCTTCCATGAAAGCTGGACGTACTTTTTTTAATGTTTGCAATCTCTTTTGATTTCTGTCGAGTTCTGCGCGTCGCCTTTCAATTCTTGCATCCAAATTCTGTTCCGTGTCCTTAAATACGAAATTGGAAATTATTGTATCGAGAACTTGAAGTATTTTTAAAAATAAGATCGGAAAGTAATGATACCTTGACACTCTCGATTTGTTTCTTGGTTTCTTCGATTTCTTTACGTATATTTTCAATAACGCTTTTCAATGCCGTCTCGATTTCCGAGATATCAAATTGTCTAGCAACCTTTGAATTACGAATTTCTCTGAGATCAACTTCACGTCCTAACAAATCAAACAGTGATGCACCAGTTACAGTTAACTGACTAGCTAATTGTCTAGTCGATTTTAATTCGTTTATCTTGTTGGAAATGTCGAAATTAACTGTATTAAAATTATCATCGGACATCACGTTATTAATATTACTGTTACTTTGCGCATCATATAACAATGTGGCAACTTTTAATAGTTCTTTTACAGCATAGCCATCGGCTTGGTATAATTTTTTCGTATTTAATTTTATATTTGTTTTTAAGGCCTATATTGAAATCGTTTGATAAATTTTAATATAAAAATATAATTCGCTTTATTAAAAATAAAATAGAAAAGAAAATTAAAAAAGAAAAAGGAATTAGATACATTCATAAATTAAATACGTATCAAAATAAACTAATAATAAATAATGAATAATAGTAAATATAATTTTGGGATAAAGGAAATATTTATTTTGATTAAACGTAGAAATAAATATAAAATTCAAGATTTTTTTTTTACCATAAACTCGGCAACAGCACGGATTAACGAGATACGCTCTTCCTCGGTGCTATGATCACTGGGTATATCTGTATCTGGATCAAATCTTTTGACCAGCCAAACAAGGATTTCTGCAATTAATGGGAAATTCGGTAATCGAAAATTTCCAACAGAAATCAGTCTGGGATAACCAAGAACGCGCATTATTTCTGTGAAATCTGTCAAAGAACAAATATAATTATTATACCATATATATTGCATTAAAATGTTTATTAATTAAAATTTACTTACTTCTTAAGTCACGAAATGACATTTTTTTAAATGCAAAAACAAAGTTAAAGTAAATTGCAATGTTTTTCTTTAACGTTCCGCGTTATGTTTTGATTTTCGTTTCGGACGTTGCCAAGGAAACGTATAGAATTGAATTAAATAAAGGATTTTTCACTGAAATTCATAATCAATTTTCGAGAAATATTATGCAGAATTATTAATTCTATATTTCTTTTATTATATAATTAAACTTTTTTCTAATCAACTAAAAAATTTAGAGTAAATTTAAGTTTAAATAAAATCTTTAATTATTATAATTATTATATATCATGTACAATTTATTACAATATATCATATATTAAACTTGATTTATTTAAAATCATTATTATTCTATATGGATATAACGTAAAGAATATCAAAAGTCTATAGGAGCTCCTTTAGACTGTTTCATTATAGAATGCTTTCGTTTTTCAAAGAGTCTTTTTCTTGCTGCTCTAAGATGTTGTTTTCTTTTTAATTCCAACGTTTCTGAAGATATTTCTGGTGGAGGTTTCGTCGCTTCCCATATTATATCTCTTAGTTTTCGAAGAGCATCAGCTAAATTTAATTGTTGAGATCTTGTTAATTCTGATTTGATTATAAAATATCCCTCTTTAGATAATTTATTTTTATACTGTAACAATAACATTATTATAAATATTTTTTCCATAAAATTAGTTTTAAAAATTACAAACCTGTTCCAGTAGTTTGCTTTTAATCTCCTCTGATAACCATTTAGCGCTTTGCAAATGAAATCTTACATCCACTTTGGTATTTGTACGATTTACATGTTGTCCTCCTGCACCACTACTACGGCTATAAGTAATATCAAGTTCTTTAATTGGTATATAGCCACTAAATTTAGCATTTGGATCTTCAGGAACCTGAAAATTTTATATAATTATATTATAAGATTTTTCATCAAATATTAATGTAAATAATTTATTAAATTTGTTAAATAATTTATAAAATGATAATTTGGAAAAATAGTTTGGATAAAGATTCATTGTAATGTAAATATATTCCAAATATATTGATATATTACAATAAACTTACAAAGGTTGGTGTGAAGAGTTTTATATTATGTGTAGGGTATAGTTTATCAAGAGAATAAGCACTTTTATAAGTGGAAGCTTTTCCAAAAATAGAAAAATTATTATTAGGTATTTTAAAAATTCGAATCCATTGCTTACTGGCAATATTCATTTTGTTGTTTCTTTATATTCAAAATCATAACATAACCTATACCGCGCGAGTAACAAACATATCCTCTGAATACTGCCACTTACTTATTTTCGAGAATCGATTCTTGCACAGATTTATCAAAAATATTTCGATATTTTAAATTCTTTTGTATGCAAAAAAGAATAAATGATTTGTGTTTATGATTTGATTTAATTGTGATTAATCGTAATTTATCATGAAAAATTAGTAATTAATATTTAATATATATATATATATATATAGTA